GTTTTACAGCAATTGTATGATGTCGGGGTTATTCCCGGTTCTGATATGACAACGGAAGCCGCAGTCATAAAATTATCATACGTATTGGGTAAAGATGATTGGGACTTGACTAAAAAGCGTGAAATGATGCAAAAAAATTTGAGGGGTGAAATGACCGTTAGCAGCAAAGAGACACTGCAAGATCTGGAAATTAGTGAGTGCCAATTTTGACTTATTTCTGTTAAAGTCACCAAAGACTGAGACAGATGGCTGAGGAATAGCTTCACAATAAAATTTTTCAGTTCCTGAACTCGCTCGCTTTCTTAAAATCAGTTCTTCAAGTGAAGTCGAATTACTAAAAGATGCGCTCTTTCCACCCCTTCTCTGCCACGCCGCAAAAAATGGCGATGTTAGTCTCCTGGAAAAACTACGTCGAAGCGGAGCAGATTTATCAGTACCAGACTATAATGGAAGAACAGCTCTGCACATAGCAGCGAGCTTCGGTCAGTTAGATGCCGTCACTTACCTGTTAAAGCACGGTTGCAACGTTAACGCAAAGTTAGTTTTTTTGTATACCATTTATGCACGTAAGAATCTTTGGTAAAGCACCACTTAATTCACTAATAAAACAGAAAGTTGAAATTCCGACTTCAAACGAATTAAAAGGTCAAATTAAAATGGCTAGGTTTGAAGGAGAAAAAACTCACTCACTTTTTTATAAATTTTCCCTGGCCAGAAAACCGCGCCATGGATAAAGCATAAATCACGAGAAATTAAATTTTATGGCCTCTCTTTCTCTCCCCCCACCAAAAAAAAAAGCAAGCCTTTGCCCAGCGTACTGTGCCCTGACCTCTGCGAAACTTTCTGAAAAATGAAGGAATTAATTAAAAGAATTCCCTCTCAGAAGAATGCACTCCCCTCAACCCCAAATCTCTCAAAAACTGAACCCCAGGTGCCAGAACAGCCGTGAAAAGCTTTTACATCCAAAAGTAAAAAAAAGCAGCAAGACGCATACTTTCAAGCTTAAAAAATCAGATCCTTACAAACCATTCCTTATTCTGAAGAGGCAAATAATGGGCTGATGAGGGCTGAAAAGGCCGAACCATGGTGGCTTTGCCCACAGTTCGATACCAAATACGCTATCGGAAAGTTAACGTTCACCGTTACCAATACCGAGGAGGTGCAGAAGTGGTTTTGGAGCTTGCATGAACTAATGCTTTGCCGAGGGAAAAGTTGAATAACAAGCAACACGAAATTTCACATTAACTGTATGATGTAGAAGTAACTCCTGATCCTGATATGACAACGAAAACCGTAGTTGTAAAACCAATGACTTATGATTTTAAGGACGTCACATTGAAATTTCAGAGACCGATTTGACGAGAACCCCTTAATCAATGCCGTACGCAGTAAAAGTTTAGACTGCATTCGAACCTTGCGCGATGCAGGAGGCCATATTACAGGCAGTCCTGACGAACTCGGTAAGCCCTCACTATATGTAAGACATCCAACCAACCTAGTTCCTAAATTCTTTTTTTCACAAATGCCGAACTACTTTGCGAGCCCTGCAGAAGAATGAAGGTCATTAGAAAGGAGCCAAAAAGGTCACTATCTTTGAATGAAGAGCAGTGGAAACCCGTAGACCACTTTTCTTTGTCCTTTATTTTTACAAATGCAGCCTTCTCTTCAGGTCTAGAACTATGTATGTGCGCAAGTCATGGTGATTTGGATACATTGCTTGCATGGTTGTTAGCAGGAGCAGATCTCAGTCAATCTGACTACGATGGGCGGACACCATTACATATCGTAAGCCAATCATTCATACAAAACCAGGGAAAAACACGTTTCATCTCAATAAAGACTTTATTTTTCTGAGCTGAACCTCACGATTCGACCGTGAAATTCGCAAGGAAAATGAGAAATCAAACTTAGCTCCTAATTCCCATATTACTCCTTGCTTAGACAAAATTTACAGGCATCAAGAAAGAATCGTGAAGATGTAATTGAGTTTCTGCTTAACAACGGAGCTAATCCAGATGCAGTCGATCGGTTCGGTAACAAAGCAATTGACGCGTCACTAGAGCGCAGCAATCACGTTATAGCCCAACTTGTAAAAAAAGCACGGAAAGAATCTGAAAAAAAGGTTCCATGACTTTAACAAAGAACTACAAAAAACGCCTTAGACTGGCAGTAATAGCAGGAACCCAGTCCTTTTTTTCAGTTTTCTGACCAAAAACTTGTATTTAATGAAAGCCCAGAAAGCTAATTAAGTTTCTAAAACGCAAGCAACTCATGAAAGGAGCATCGGAGCATTCGAAACATACTAAATGAAAAAAAGAAATAATTTACGAATCTGAAATGGCCCCCAAATGTAACACTTTGGTAACAGCGAATCTACAAACGCCGAATAATTCTATCAAGTTTCTGCAACTAGATTTTAATAGAAATCCTTTTCAAATTTTTGACAGCAAATGTAAGATAATTTGCACTCTATTCCACGGATGAATAAATAATAAATATAAACAAGAAAAAACTTCTTACCAAGTAGGAGTGTTGAAAATACCGTACAATCAAGTGTGATTTACACAAAATCACTTGTTAAAATTGCGTTCCGAAGTTCTTCTCCCGTCAAACATTTAAGCTTTTCTACAAAAGCTCGCTCCTCCGCAGACTCGCCAGCTTCTTTTTTTTCTAAGTTTTTCAGTTCTTCATCTGCTGCCTAAACTGATGAGCCATAAACACACAAGAATAACGCGCAAAATAACTATAAAACGCAGGAAATAAAGATTTTTCTTACAACTTACAGCAATGACTGTAGAAGGCATGCCAACAATGTTCGCAATATTCAATCCAAAAGAATGTTCTGCTAGTCCAGGAACAACGCGGTAGAGCAAAACTAGTTGGTTGTTTTCATCCATATGTGTTGCTACGCATATGCTGCGTACAAATTCCGGATAAAGTTCTTGTAGAGTTACCATCTCGTGAAAATGAGTAGCAAAGATGCAAAAACATTTGATTCGGTTCAGAATATCGCTGCAAGTACAGTCCAATACCAGAAGAGTAAAAAAAATCATAAAAGCCAAAAATGACAAACAAGTCTACAAGTTCCACAGAATAATTTAAACAATAGAAAAAATTACTCTGCAATTGCCCAGGCAATCCCAAAACCATCGTAAGTAGAGGTTCCACGACCAAGTTCGTCGATAATAACTAAAGAATTGGCAGACGCTCCCTAGAAAATCATTTACATAGAAAAGTAAACATAACGACTCCAGAACAGCAGAGCATTGCCCACCTCTAGAATAGAAGCACTATCTATCATTTCAGCCATAAATGTAGAAACTCCTTTGCACTGATAATCACAACTACCAATCCTAAAAAAGCAATAAACTAGCCACAAAATAAATTTCAAGAAACCCTAATCCAGTAAAGCAATCGCAATACAGCATAAAATGACACGCCTAGAATCCAACTTATTAATCTACAAATTTGCGAATTGAGAGGAGCACGGTGACCTAAAATTCTCCCCAAAAAATAACAGAGCATATAAAGCAGCGGAACATTATAACGGTAATATTACTAACATGGACCAGTATTTCCTAATGCCTCTGCTGTACAGTCAAAGGTCATTTTAAATAACTGTAAAACAAGCAGAAGCAATTCAGAAATTCACTGCTTATAAATGTCAAGAGGCTTCTTAATGAACAATAAAGATTTCCTGCTGTTCAGAACTCAAATTTAGGCGAACGACTAGAGCTAGCTTATGCGAAAAGAATAAAAAAAATTTACCTTGTATGAATTCCATCAACAACCGAGAATTTTGCGCTGGTGCATGGAACAAAACTTCCAATCTGTCCTAATAAAACTGTTAATGCGCAAGAACGTAGGTAGGTACTCTTACCACCCATATTAGCGCCAGTCAAAAGTAGAAAACGTGTTTTATCTAAAAGTTAAAATAATAGAGATTACATTTTAAAGCATTTAGAGACGATGTCAACAAAAAAAACCCACCGTCTAAGCTTTCACCCATGTTTACATCGTTCGGTATGAAATTACAGTCCTCTAAGGCTTCTAGAACGGGGTGACGACAACTTTTCAAGACTAAGCACCGTTCGCCTAAATGAAAAACAGCAGCAATAATACAAAACACTAAACTGTCAAAAAAACACCTCTCAAGTAAATTCATACATTTACTTCAAAGTAACTCACCCTTGTCAAGTATTTGAGGCCTTACGTAGAGATACGAAGAACCAGAAGCGATTACAGCAAATGATACGAGTACATCGATAACAGCCAAGTTGTCAGAAAGTTGATTGAAAGCAGGAAGATAACCAGCTGAAATTGAAAAAGTCATTCGCACTATAGCTTATTTCGCTTGATTAGGAAGAATGCAGCAAAATCAACAAACTCTAATAAAGAAAGAAGAAGACCCCAATTACTAACTTACCACAAGTCTCCACAACTGTTTTTACCAACTCGCCTTGCGCCCTGTCATAAAACCTTTGCAAGTCTCTATACTCTGCATTCAGTTCATCAAGCAGTTTGGAAGTAAATTTCACCCCGGTTCCTTTTGTAGCTTCCACAATACGTAAGCCATTTTGTCGCAAGTATTTCTCGGCCTTAAAAAAAGCACAATCAAACGTGGCAAAGGCAGCATTTCAATGAATGAACTAACCTTCATTGTACAACGAAAATAAAACCCAATAGACGAATTCGAATCCAGCTTCACGTTTTCTGACAATCGTGAGCTCATCTGAAAGTGAAATTTTTCCGGTTTTCTAATGTAATTTCAATTTGAAAGCAGTCAAAATGGTACTTAAGAAGCAATAAAAAATACTAAGAGATAAACAAAGAAAAAAAGACAACTTTATCAAGTGCTTTTTGACAAGACTCTTCTATTTCTCTCATTCTCCCAGCAGTGTGATTAAGCTGTTCGTCGATGTCAGGTCTAATACGATAATTTCCAGTTTCTTCGCAGTATTGTATGTCCACAGCAGACTCAATTAAAGCGGCATACTTTTCAAACTGTAAGCTAGAAAGACGAATCGGCTCCTGTAACATCGACATAAACAGGACTTATTTTTTTTTTGCAAAAAGCCCGGTCAAGTGGAACTCAGTAAGTAGCATAAAATATGACACTCACGGCACCCAAAGATCAGTTTCTGAAAAATTTGCCCGAAAAATTAACTACCTGTTTTACAACTACAGGTCAATCTGCTCTACTCATTATTTAAAAATACAGAGACTTACGTAGAAAAGTTCGTTTACGGAAGGGGCTAAATCATCAGCCCTTTTGTAAAGTTCACTCAAAACCTCCTCCAAACGCTTCAAAAGACAAACAAGTTGGTACAAACGGTAACATTCCTAAATTAAAAAAAAAAAAAACAAAATAAAACATTTAAGAGCGGAGAATGAAAAAAATACAAGATAGTACAAACTTGTAAACCGGCTTTCTTGTGAATAAGTTTTCTTGTCAGAGTGCTTATATCCGGTATTCTACGCAAAATATCGTCGTGTAAGGTATCTGTAGTTGATTTATCCATTCCAAGAGCTTCAACAACGTCCAACCGCTCAGATATTTGCCTTAAATCAACTAAAGGCCTTCGCATCCAAGCCCCTATAATTGGGAGATCCGCTTAAGCCGTCAAGGACTAATATTCAAATTTCAAAATGTCATATTATAAAAGAAGTCTTTGGAATATTCACTAAATGCGACAATATAAAATCAAATATTTCAACAAAACTATCGCTCTGGACTTCTATAACTCACGCAAAAGACGCTGTCCTTGTTGAGTTCTACACCTGTTAATTCTCTCGAAGAGGGTACTAGATTCTGCCACTCCGCCATCTAAATGGTTTTAAATTAAAAGTCACCATTAGTAAAAACATGTAAAAGTGCCGTGAAATTCTAAGTTTTGGTATCGATAAATATGCCCTGCAAAGTAGAAAAGAAAGAAACAAAAATATAACCTTCATCGTATGCAACAGAAAAAAGCTCCAGCGCTTTGACGGCCGCCATATCCAAGTACATGAATCCGGCAGATTTATAATCAAAGAGTGAAAACTGTCCAACATAGTTTGTGTCATTAAGGAGCAGAAGCTTCTTCACCAAGGCATACAAACACCTAATATGTAGCACAGACGGATGAAAATCTGAATTATTATTCAATTAAATCTTCTCAAAAATTGAAAACAAAGTACTAAAGACTCACTCTGAAACAGTACAATGACATCGAAATGTAAACAGAGTAGAATATCTAATTTTAAAAGAAGTAATATAACCAACCATCACCCATTACCACCTGAGAGAAAACAGCTGCTACTTTCCAGACGGGAATTTAGACCCAGTTCAAAAGATTTTGAAACCCAATTCCCATAGAAGAGCAAATAAACCAAAATTACAAAAAATAGTCTACACTGCTTAAAGTAGGACTTGCTTTCCAAACCAACAGGAAAATTTGAAATTAATTAAACACACCTCTATACTTCGGCTGGATTAAGGCCATAACCTCTTCCTCCAGCTTTTTTGGATTACAGTCGCTATAATCTTTCTCACCAATAATTTTGGTCACGTTTGCACGTTTAAAGGCAGTATCTAGCTGGTTGATTCTTTTGTCAGCTCCTGAAGCTGCAGAAGTAAATGCTTTAGAGGAAGACGGCAACAGTACGCATTCGTGGGGCATCAATGACACAATACATTTCTGAAATCAAATTTTGTTACGAATAAAATAATTAACTTTTGAATTTTGAATGCAGAGAAGCCTACGTGGTATACCGAACTGACTCAGCTAAAAAATATTTTTGAAAGGCTTTGAAAAACTATTCTGATAATCGATACAACTCCTAAAATCACAGTGAAGGATACCTCTCAAAACTGTCTAAAGAAACCATACCTCTAAATTTGAAAAATGCTCAGCATCAGAAAATTCAGCGATGGTCATCCTCAAGTCTTGAGCGTTGCAGAATGCGGCAACGACACGATACTAAACTTGTAAAACTAAAACTACAGTAACTCTAAAAACTAAAGAATAATAAGAATTTCTTCCGCATAAATTAAAAAAATGTTACCTCATCGCTGCTAGTCTCTTCTGTAATTGATAATGCCATTATGGTTGATAGTTCACTTAGTTCAATACTATTTCCAATAAGTTCCTCAAAGTCACCTAAGCATCCCAAAGAGCCCTAAATTGATTAAATTCGAAGCTTAGCCTGGATCTAATATACCATTTTAAGTGACAAATGAGTAGTCCAAATAAACAAAACTTCCTGAAACCTTAGCTTTCAAAGTCCAAACTCCTTCAGATAGTCCGTAAACTTCTAGTCGATAGTGTAGCAACAAAATGACATCACGAACGACTCTTCCATATTGTGCATTATTCAGATTATGATACGTTATTTCACGACCAGCTAAAAAAATAGACTCACTAAGCAAAGAAAAAAA